GGCCGTTGCAAAGAAGTATCCCAGTGGGGATGGGGGTCGGAGGGCAAGGACTTTTGTGTAAAGTGGGCAATGCTTTCATGAATGTGGGGGATCATCGCAGAACAGAGAACCCACGGATATGTGTGCTCATGCTTGCTCGAGTTCACACACCCAGGGGATCCTAGCGGTGTATAAGGATTGGCTTCTGCATTTATGATTCAGTACCCGTTCTCTGCACTGAAGGTGAAGATACCGCAGCAAGGGCTCATTCCCTTCTCAGCTATCCCCCCTCTTTTACTACAGATGTTGTTGGTGCCATCCAGCAGACCTCCAACTCATGGTGATCACCATACCCATGACTGGCTACTGAGTGAAACCCTTGTGATCTATACAGTTTTCTTTAGATCACCTGGCCTTTTTGCCTAGTGTCTTAAATCTGGAAGTTCTGCTAAAACTTGCCTCCTATGGGCAGCCTTGTCAGTATTGGAAAGACCAGTGGCATAGCTTCCAGCATCATAGCAACACCCAAGCCTGTGTGGGCAGACAGGTGGTGGTGCATTGGCCAGAAATCAAAGCCAGTTCACCCACATGGAAAGCAAGACCTCTGCTCCGGAACCACCAATGCACCTTAAAACCCACTGCTGTGGAATTGACTCCCACTCACAGCACACACCACGCAAAAGTAGACTCGTTCCCATTGCGCCCATTTTAACTCATAATGACCCAGCAGAACAGCGTCGACCTGAGCCGTAGGGTTTCAGTCAGTCTTTATGGACGCAGCCTGCTCTTGCTCTGGCAGAGTTGCTGGTGTGCTTAACCTTCCTCCAACTTTTCTGCTAGAAGTCAAATACTTAACCACTGCACCACTGGGGCTCCTGCAGTAGGAACATCAGAGTCTTGGGTCCTTCCTTTTCATGTCCATCCATAAAGTACTCGAGAGCCTGGCTTTCATACTTCCTGGCCTGATCACGCCCAACTGGTCCTTGTTGACTTGCCACATGTCATGCCTGGTCATGGCTGTGCTCCTTCATACTTCGTAGCCTGATTCCTCTTACCCCAGTCCTTGTGGCTATGTCACATCGGGTCCTCCTGTTTATAGCCTGAGCAGTTGAACTCCCTGGGGACAAGGATAGGGCCTGGTGCATGGTGCTGTCCTACATATCACACTGTGCCTGCATGGGCATCCCACCATCTGAATCAAGGGCTGTGAGTCAAAGGAGTCTGGAGACAGACTTGCCTTGGAGAAGGCCCTCCAAGTGCTTAGAAGTCAAGCTTTACAGCTACTCCTATGCAGCGAGGAGGGCAAGACTTTCGTCTCAAGTAATTCAGACATGTTGTCAGAAGGGACCAGCCCCTGAAGGATACCATGCTTGGTAGCGAGGTTCACTGGAAAAATGAAGACCATCAAGGAGATGGACAGACACAGTGGCTGCATCAATGAGCTCGATGATTGTGCCATGGTGCAGATTCCAGCAGAGTTTCATTGTTTCGCATGGCATTGATATGGGTGAGAGCCGATTTGATGACACCTAACAACATTACATTTAAAGCTTTTATATTTTTTAATGAAATGTTACTAATTAGAGGGCATTTCTCTGGCTCCCCCCCCCCCTAAACTTTTAAACTCTTTGTTTTAATCCATTTAAGTGGAACACACATGCCTTTCATAGAAGGCACCTCTGGGTAGACTCGGCCCTCCAACTTATGGTTAGCTTAGTCATATGTGCCACCCACGGGCTCTCAAATTATCTAAACATAACCTGCAGTTTTTTCTTTGCATATACCTACCAAAAATGATTGAAATTAAAACTTCTAAGTACAGCTTCAGATGTGTTTTTGTTTTAAGTAAAAAGTTAATGTTTAGGGGAGAAGACGTTTAAAGTCTTGAGAAGGGTACGCGTTTATGACCGCACACAGAAATCAAATAAAACTTCTCAAGAAACAAACCTAAAAAAATGGTACATACTACGATTGATATTCTAGGCTGCAGTGAGCTTGAATCAGACAAACACATGGTCTACCATGTGGGGAGCAACACACTGCACAAGTATGGTATCATATTCATATCAAACGGAACATTTCAAGACCAATCCCAAAGCACAAAACTGTCAGTGATAGGGTAACATCCATATGCCTACCAGGAAGACCTCTTTAAAGTGTTCAAGGGCAAAGGTGTTACTTTGAGGACTAGGGTGCACCTAACCCACACCATTTTCAATCCCTTCAAATTCATGCAACACGAGGACCACAAAGAAGAGAGACAAGAACTGATGCATTTGAATCGTGGTGTGGGCAAGGAATTTTGAATAGACCATGGACCGCAGAAGACGGAACACATCTGCCGTGGAAGGGCAGGCAGAATGCTCTTTAGAAGTGAGGCTGACGAAGGAGACTTTGTCTAGCACGCTTTGGACCTATTAGCAAGGGGCAAAGGGTATCCAGCTTTGTAAAGTCAAGGGTCAGTGACACAGGGAAGGCCGTTAAAGAGATGGGTTGGCACAGGGGCTGCAACAATGGGCTTAAACATAACAATGTGAGGATGGCACAGGACTGGGCAGCAGAACAGGTTCTGAGGGACATAGGGCTGGTATGAGTTGGCACCAACTCAACTGCATCTAACACCACCACGAATAACTGTATCCCAACCCCTCAAAATGGTTTTTAAACCTAGACAAGGACAAATTTAAATAAACATACTACCTAAACTAACACAGTCTACAGTAGAAAACGTGAGCAAAATAATTGTTCAAACCATTATTATTATTTTTTTAAGTCCAGGTCGATTAGATGGCACCTTACACACAGGAACGAAAGTCTTCAAAAACATTTCTTCTGCGAAATTGGCTGTGTAAGGCTGCCCTGCTCACCTGCACACAGGTATCCAGGGGCGAGAGGGCATCTAGACACTTGCTGGTAGGAAGTAAGTTTAGGCCCTCCCACAACACTTCTCACGTTAGATTTCGTATTTTTATGTCTCTTCGGCTTTCCATTGCCTAGCGGAACAGAGTAACGAAAATGCTCTGCTTTGCAACTTTCACCATTAAAACCCGGGAGCGGGGAGAGACGCACAGGTCTCTAAAAGCCGCTAGGAAAGGACGCAGCTCCCTAACCTACCTACCGCCTGGGCTCTCATGAGTGAGAGCCTTGCACCCTGGCGCCCTACCACCTGGTGCATTGCTGCCGCCTCTAACGCCCGCCGGCTTTAGGGACCAACCTATCTGTCCCAGTTGTGCCTTTTCATAGCGGAGCTTTTTCCCTTGGGAAACTCATTTCCCAGAGCTCGTGAGCGAAGTATGAGAACGCGGGTGACTCCTGGCCATGATGCTGGGGCTTGCTATACCTATCAAGCCACGTGTAAAAAAGTAACATAAAATAAAATACCAGGGACAGCGAAGCCACCGGGTGCACAGGGCGTGGTCTGCGGTGGGCGTGGTCTCATGGCGAAGGGGCGGGGCCTCGTCAGCGAGGGGCGGGGCAGGGGGCGTCCCTCAAAACTGTAGCTCGGCCGGGCCTCTTCGGACGCCCCGTGCGTCGCGCCTCCAGATCGGTGAGAGACTGGGGGGCGCCCCGCCTGTTGCAGAAATTGCTTCCACCTATTTCAGTTTTGCCTTTGCCCTGCCTCACTATTCCTGCTTCCTTCGGGCCGGCTCCTGCGCAGCTGTCGCAGCCACATGCTCCCTCCACAGCTCCCCGCAGCCTCGGCCGCCTCGCGGCCCTCAGACCCCGGCTCTCGCAGCCACAGCCGCCGCCGCCCGGCCCGACTTCCCACCGCAGGCGGCGCGCGGCAGCGAAGGCGTGACGGAGAGGCGATGGGGAGCGTTAGGAGCACGTGGGAAGCCTCGGCTAATGGTAGAGCGGCGTGGCGGCGGCGG